TTTTTGTATTTAAATGTGTGATATACTTTTTGATGAGAAGATATGATTTTTACAAGAACCAATCATGCTCTTCAATAAAATACTGATTTAACATATTGAAAAAAAACATTCTTTGTAATTTAACTGCTATACTTTCGTTCAATAATCTTAATCGATTTCGTTTAACAACTGGAAACTTTATCTGTAAAATAAGTGCGAATGGAAAAGCAAATAAAAACAATAATATAAATGAAAAGAGAAAAAGACAAGAATGAGGATAAAAAAATAACATTATGGTCGCAGTAGTATTTCTAACTGATGAATAGAAATACTAGATGAGATGATATTTTTAGTAGATACTATTTGTCTACGAATAAGATAATCTATAATGGATTTTAATCTCCTCATTCTTTGAAAGATATAAAACGTGAGTAAGAACACTCACAAAAAAATTTCATGAACAATATAATAATTGAAAAGGAACATATAAATCGGATAAAATGAAGTAAAATAGTTGAAAGAGCATTAGAAAAAAATGCGACGCATCTATTTTATTTTTCGTTGCTTTGTATTATAATGAATCGATCTAATCAAGATGAATTTTCCATAGTTTCATTTTGAATATGATCACGACCAATCCTTTTTAATCCTCGACGACGTTCTTCAATAAGAAAATCAGATAATTTTCTTCTCAAAATATTTTTATAAAATGCAGCATATTTCGTGCTATCAATCTTGAACTTGATGCGAATAGCATCTTGATAAAAAAAAAAAAATATATTTTCGTAATATTAAAATATATATAAAATATTATTATACCATTTACTAATTGGAATTTTTTCTCATTTAAACTTGTTCGAGCTAGATAATGTCTTTGTGGAGGAAGAATTTGTGTTGTTAATTCATGCGCATTAAATACAAGTCGCATGGTTTTGCGCGCAAAATCACCAAACGATGATGCTACTGTTCTTAATAGATTAGTATCTTCATACATCTATCAATAAAAAAAAATTATTCTATTGTGAAAGAATATTATCTTCACCAATTCTTTATCAAACTCTTCATTTGTTTGATCGCGATATTGATCAAGCACCACCTTGTTCTAAGAAAAGAAAAATAATTTATACAGAACAAGGGAAACAAGTGAATTTCTAGTATTTGAAATCAATCTGTTCCTCTTCATATAGATTTATGAGAAACTAACATATATGGATGAGGCTTTTAGATGATCGATTTTCTTAGTTAAATGCGCCATTTGTTAGTCATTTTTACTATCAATGGAGAACAATTTGTTTTCCAATCCTAAGAATTTGTTTTCAATAGCGTTCAAAATAGAAACACCTAATATGAATTAAATATTTTTTATCTAATTAACTGGTAACAATAATAATTACCAGAATAACTTATTTCAGATTGTGTGTCTAGTTAATAATTGAAACTAGATAGACTCTGTCGTTGAAGTAGAGAAATCAAAATGAAATCTATCATTAAAACCGAGAAATCACATTAAACTCAAATTACAAATGCTGATTTTAATCAAATAATCGATTTTAATCTCCTCTTTTAGGCCAAACTTTAATGGCTGTCGTATGTAATGGCTTCGACTTCTTGTTTCTATCTGGTTATAGTTCAGTTCACGTTTATGCAATTCATCCGATAACATCATCTTCAAATACTGAGCTTTCTTCAACAACATCTTCAGCAAAATCATGACGAGTTGATGTGCATTGAACTAGCTAAGATCTGCTTTCACATCCTGTTTTACCAGTTTATTCAAGAGGTGACGCTAACAGAAAATTTCAGCTCTAATCTTATACAAACGTGCCTCAAGTGGAAGACTCAGTGAAACAAGTTTCAGCATTTTGTTACTACATCCATCATTTTTCATGCTTAATACTAAATCATGGAATGATCTTCATTTGGATAGAACATACTTTTAAACAAAATTTAAAATTATTAGCTTTTAGTTTTTTATTTATTCATAAAAACTTCAAAAAATGTACATGCGAAAAGAATTTCATAAAGCGAAGATTGGTGTCGATCTCAATAGCTTTCCTGAAAATTTTGTACTCTTTTGTGACCGATTTGAAGAAAATGCTTAAAAGCTCAGCTCTCTGCTAACGAAGTTCTGATTTCGTCATTATTTTTAATGAAAGTAGTCTTCCTCGTGAACGACTATTTACGGCAGTCATCGTATACGTCGTTTTACGGTATTTTACGCTTAGCGTAAACAATGATCTTATACGTTCGCCGTCTACTACTACCGTAATAATACGGTGACTGTAAACAATAGTCGGATACTACCGTAACATATCGTGAAACGTCGTATATAGCTGTCGAAAACGGCCACCGTTTACAGCTGGCATTTACGATATGTTACGATACTATTCGAGTATCGTTTACAGTCGCCGTACGATTACGGTAGTTGTAGACGGCGAACATGTATGATGATCGTTTACGATAAGCGTAAAATACCGTAAAACGTCGTATACGACTGCCGTAAGCACTCACTGTAAACAGCTGTCGTTTTCCACCGTAAACTATTAGTATACGGCCGTTTACGGCCGTGCGTCATTGACCTGGGTATCAAATCTATGTTATTTTTATTCCATCGTTAAAAAACCAGGGTGCTGGGTCATACTTTTGTCTCCACTCTCACTTACACCCACAACCACACCCAGCTATTTTTGTCGAACAGTTTTTCTATTTGGATCAACATAACCAGGCTCAGCAGTATGAAGAAACTACTTCATGCCAGATCGACGAAAAATACCAAATGGAAGACCATCATGTAATTCTTGTCTACGTTCAGACGTTAAAATTGAAACTTGAAGCGTCGAATTATCATTATTTTGTGATGCAAACAACATGTTGAGAATTCGATGTAACGAGCTTACCAAATGCTAACGTAAGTTACCATCAGTTCGTTTACTACATTGATAAACCTTATGAAACAGAAAAAAATATTTGACATCATAGATCTATTCCCTGTTCACTTTTTCACCTACGACTTGAACTCTTTCACCTTTTTTTTGTGTTTACGAAAAAAATAGTATCATAATATATAAAGAGCATATATTTATTTTTAATTAGGGCTGTCACATTATCGTTACTGGTAAAATGTAATGATTTTTAACGTTATTAGCATTACTAGCACGGTGTGGTTGTGAATGTGAGTATAATGCAAATGAAAAGGTCGACACGCACACCCACATCCTCGTATATGATTGCAGTATTTTAACAAATAATTAAACAATTAGTTTTATTTTAATTGCAGTCTTATATTTTTAACATAGAATAAATTTTTATCTTATTCTATGGCAATTATATATTTTTAACAAATAATAAAACATTTATAAAAATTTTTAATTTTAAGTTTATTTTAATACAGTTTTAATTTAATTTTATTATATATATTTTGAATGAATAATTAAATAATCATATTTATATGTTATTGTTATCTTATGATATAGCTTTAAATAATTAATTTCTTGAGGAGTGGGGTGTGGATGTAGGTGTGTGTATTATTTGCAGTCGACATCCACACCCACACCCGCACATAACTATGATAACCAAATTCGAAGTTCGTTGAAATGTGGAAAACTTATTTGACACATCTTAGAATTCAATAGTCGCTTATTACCAGTGTTGAATATTGCTTGTTCAATTGATACTTCAACTTTTGGATCAAGTCGTAACAAACCATTTTTATTTATAACCAACTGAACAAGTCGATCGATGGTATCAACAATCTTCACTATAAATTTCACGAGATTCTCATTGAAGGATAAATAACCATGACTAGTTTCGAGACAGCATATACTAGGTAGTAGTTGGACAAGGTAATTAATATTAACGTATACATCTGGATCTTTACAATTTTTGTTTAATCGAAGACGTAAATGTTTCACGTTTGTATTGGAACGTGAGCAAAGAGATAAATCTTCCCATTCTACAGTGAGTTGTGAAAGACGAGGCGACATATAAAGTATTTGATCAATAATGTAAGCACGTTCCGATCGTTTAATCACCTTATGTTCAAAGTCAAAAATCACACAACGTACCCAAGGAAAACGCAGAGAAGACCATGATGAAAAAGACTGGTTGCTCTGAAGAAATTACTAAAAGGAAAAAAGAATCTATTATTAAAAGATCTCAGGAAGAAACTACTCTCTCGTTCATATGCATACTAACTTTCATTTCGTAGAATTCTAAAATAAGTGTATCTACATATCCAGCAGCTAGTTTGTTGAAAGTAGTTGTCAGCTGAGTGAGATTATCTACTTCATTACACTTCCATCTCATGCAACGCCGATTGATTTGCCTTGAATATTGTGCAAATGAATGATTAAAAACAGTACGTGTATATTGTAGTAACATGTGTAATGGTGAAGTATAGAAAAGAATAACTCTTTTCGTTTTTTTATCAATATTGTAAAAACGAAGAAGTTGTTCTTCAATGTGATAAGCAAGATTGTTAAAAGGCCATGTACTATCAAATGTATTGACAATAGTCTTTTGAAATTCTTCATAGACATGTTCTGGAAAACAAATAAGAAAGTAAAACTCTTTCAAACAAGGTATACGCTTGTGATTGATAATTTGACGAAGTTCTTCATAATGTACAAGTGCTAAAAATGAAAAATAAATTAGGCTTGTCTTTTGGAATAATAATAAAAGACTTACTTTCGTCAAATATTTCAACAACTATCAATTTCTTCAAAAGAGGCATATTGAGAGAACGAATTAGAATTGTTATATTATGAAGACTTAAATGACGTAAAACAAGAGTTCGAAGTCGAGTTGCATCAGCCATTTGAAGAATATGATTTTCACAAAATTCGATTTGTGGTTGTGGCCCATTCATATATGGCTCCCTTGTACATTTTTCATGTTCAATAGTTATATACAAGTATTCGAGACATGGTATAGCATTATTTTGAAGAACAAAAATAATTTCAAATGGAAATTGGACGGTCAATGTTAATTGTACCGTATGTGACCATTGCAGATTTTTCAGTTCGTATAACGAGGACCATTTGTTTTCTCCATAATAACAACCTTAATAGATATATTTCAAATAATTATCCAAAAATACCAATAATAGTCGTAACAATCTCAAGATTTCTCTTGATATACGTACTTTTTTCCAGTTCGAATATCATTGTATGAAATGAAATTCGTGCTTTTATCAAATTATCAACAAAAAACATATATGTGGCATCAGAAGAACTAGAGCGAAATATCAAATGAAGATATTGTAATGAGTTACCAGTTGATAGAGGTATAAGTGAACGATCAATAAAACCACATTGATAATATTGAGCTTTCTTTATAATCAATCGTTCAAGTTTTGGTATTATAGTCGTTAAAGAATTATTAGTCCAATAATCATAAAAAGCAAAACAAGAATCTGAATTGTCGAGAATAATCGTACGTAAAAGGAGAAGATAATTTGACGTGGTAAAGATTTGACGCATTTTTTGATATGATATTGATTTTGTATCGAGTGTAAGTGATTGAGAATGAATGATTTGTTGAAGGCGATTATTATTTATATGAAAAAAGGCATTGAATAAATCAAAAGATGATAAATAATTGAATATGTACATATACAATTCAGTTGGTAACGATTCGAATGTAGAGATATTCATTTCACCATCTATTGTCTGGAAGATATCGATGTATTCTTTATATATAGCTCATTGTTATAAAAATGCTCCAATCATATTCATATTCATATTCGATCAATGATATTCTGAGTGTTTATCTATTGTACAAAAGAAGTTCATAAACTATAATAAAATCAATTAATTACATTTTACAAAGTCCTCATTTATATCATTTAATATCAAGAGGGAAATTTGAGTGTGGGTGTTTATGATAGAGTTTACTAAGACCATAGATTCGATCGTTATCTTTTGCAGGTATTTTTGGTATTTGAGGGGATAGGACATGACCTGCGACGAGGAATAGAGTATTGCCGATTTCGGATTGCATTAATTCGAAATAAACGTAAATGTACTATTCCTAGGGCTGGTCACCCTCCATTATATTGCAACCTTGTCCCACTGTACTCTAGCATACACCAAAAGTTTGAGGGTGTGAGTATGTGATAGAAGAAGAGCATCAACTTACACCCACACCCTATCGAAATTCAGAAGAGATACTTAAAAAAATACTTATAAATTTTAGCTATTAAACGTTTTTTTTTGGCGCAAACAAAATTATATATTGAATAAAAATCACATTTTCATTAGTATTTTGAAAATGAAACGCATCTTTCAAATATTTTTACGCGATACGTAGATTTGATATCATCTATGTCAAAATATTTAGTAAATTGATTCCAACTTTGATGATTATGTTCAGTCTTTCTCAGATTATATATGAGTGAAACCTTTAAGTTTTTAAAATTGTTCAATATTTCCATAATAATATTTGCTCCTTCTTCCGATATACCAAGAAATTCAGTTGAACGAAAATATATATATATATTGAATATTTGAAAAATAAATATAACTTTTCTCAATAAATTCTTTAAATTTATCATCAATAAATCTGATTCTCACATCCAATTGTTGAATCTTATTGTTCAATATTGAAATTAATTCTGTTTCTATCAAAGGTAATTGTTCATTGTCATCCAAAATTAAATGTTTAACGTTTGGTAATAAACATCTTAACTAATCCTTAATCATTGCAGGAGTTAACTTATGCAACTTAACAGTTGTGACAGTATTCAAATAAATATCATGTTTTCCATAAGAATATTCCTGTTTGTCTGAATCAGTACGGTCACCATGCAAATCGATTTCATTTAATTTCGGCAGTTTTATTTGAAGTTCTTTTAGAAAATCGAAATCATCTTTCGATTCATATGGCAGAGAAGTCATTTTAACCGAATACCATAGTCGAAGCATAGATGTTAAAAGTTCAGGAGTGTCTCATTTAATATCATTCTAAGCTCTGTAAATGTTTGGAAAATAATCAAATTGAAATGGTAATGTAAAGAAAAAATCTCCATCCATTCCAAATGACAAATTATGATCCGACCAAAATAGATCATTAAATTTCGATAAAATGACATCATTATCATCTGTATTACCAGATATATAAATAAAAAGATGAAATTTCTGAAGATTTATCATTACTTCTAAAACTTCTTTCAGTTTTATGGGATTCAATGGAAAGTTGTATGTCTTTTGATATCTTATATCACTCCAATCAAGTGATAAACATCTAAATGATGATGAAAATTCTTTTATAAAATTTGTTAATTGATCATAATCAACTTGTTTAAACCAATAATCCATTTCACACATATCTGTTCTTTCTTTATGATCTAATCTTTTTCTTGTATTTGAAAGGAAAGTAAATTTTGAAGTTGTTCACTTGCAAAAATTAATTTTAATTCTTCGTCTGGAAAACCATATGGAGAAGAAATAATTAAAGATTTTAAATTTGAAAAACGCGTTATTGGAAATGTTATATCGATTGAATTTATATTTAGAAATTCAATTTGTGGACTAATAATCGATAGAATATCATCCCATGTCTTTAGATTTGTTGTTGGTATTTTTAAATAAGTTAAATAACGTTTATTTTCTAATCACAAATGGTTAAGGCGTTCACCGATGAAGAAAAATGTATCAATAATCAAATATAAGAAAAATAATTTCAGGTAGTAAAAGATCAAACCATGTTGAAGACGATTAATATGTTAATAAAATAAAATCGTAAACATCGGACAATTCTCTTTCTTTCTCTGATTTTTATACCTACCATTTAAACGAACATAAAGAATTGAGTATAATGGTATAAAACTCGTATGAAGAGAATAGATTTCGATAAGATTATAGACAAAGCAGTAAATTTTATTACTTGCTAAGCGATCAATACACTATTATACAAACTTATTTGCAAAAAACGATGGGTTGATTTTATAACAGATATGGGTGTATGTTAGAATGTTGTTGTCATTTACTTTATGATAGAAGGAAAATTTATTATGTTGTTAAACTCAGAAGCAATATTACACTGATCTTCTACTGAAAGGATATGATCAGATCTTGAGATTGGAATTATTTTGACAAGTCTCAAAATTCTCGAGAGCGTTGGCACTCCTTAGACATCATTACTCACACCCTCATCGTCAAGATGGTTTTCGTTAGAAAATATCTTAGATTCAAGCACAATTTGGGTGTGGGTGTGTATATGGGGAGGAGAGGGATATGTATCTTCTTTATTCACATCCACCCCACACCCACACCCTCAAGACTATCGGTTTTTTAATTATGTCGAAGGATTCTTTCCGACAAGATCCGACATGGCAGTGAATTCAAAAAATTCGGTGAAATCCGATACAACCCGCTTTAGAGTCTGGGATCATCCGGTGGTTTCCAAAAGATGGTTATGACAGGATATGGTCGGATCCGATGTGTTCCCGTATGGTCCACAAGTCGGATTGAATGTCCTGGGTAAATGTAAAACTGCTTCTATATATTTTTTGCTTTTTACTTTTTTATCTAGAAATACGTTTTAAGTGTCTGTCATGAAAGTATGACACAGTAGAATAATAATATTGATGAAAGAGACACGTCATATGACTTCTTTATTTTGTTATCTTATACTGACATTATAATATGATGTAAAGAGCGAAACACAGAGTTGTTATCATACCATTTTGTTATGATGAAAATAGTGTTACTTTTTGTATGTTTACGATTTGATTTCAAATTGTTCTTATTTTATTGTTTTACTGCATTTATTTTCGATGATCTAAGTACTAAGATAGTAGATCAGTAGTGTATAAATCGTTAATTCGTTAGGATTTTTTAACTTTTACTCGAATTTTAAATTTGTAAAATTTCCAGTTCAGGTACTCAGATTTTATTTTTTCAGTTACGTTGTGGTATCTTTTCCCAGCTAGAGTCCCTCACCCTCAGTTCGAGGCGACCCTTTCCCACCAGCCACCACTCACTCTCAATTAGAGGCACTTCTCTCCCTGCTGTTTGCTAACCCTCAGTTTGAGCCACTCCTTTCTGAGCTGCCGCCCCTCATCCTGAGTCCGAGGTAACCCTTTCCCAGTTGCTGCTCCTCATCCTCACTTTGTGACATTCCTCTCTCGGATAGCTCGCGTCATTCTCTCAACTCAGACAATCGCATAATAGTCGTTAAAGTTTAAATCTCGAGCAGGTGATTCGCGTGCTATATGTATAATGGCGTGGATTTGAGTGTGAATGTAGGACTGGGTGTGTATATCACCTGATCATGATAATTTAATAGCAAAACTCACATCCACGTCTACACTCACACCCACACCCTCAATTCTTTTTATAAATCTTTTCTTAGTCTTAATCTTAAAAAGTCAAATTTTTTATTTTCTAAAATAAAATTCTACATTTTTATAAAAAAAGAAGATCATATTTTTTTGACTTTTACGAAGTAACAAGTTTTTGAAAATATTATATGATTTGTAAAGAGTTTTTATTTTTTTATTTAGTTAAGATAAAATAAAGAATGTCACAAACAAGTAGTGTTACTGATCAAACTGCTGCGCCAGTTATTAGTGAATCTTCATCGGTTGCTCAACGTTGGGAAGATGACTTTTCTAAAACTAAAACAGATGGAATAATATATGATTATATTATTGTTGGGTCAGGTTCAGCAGGTGCTGTTTTAGCTAATCGTCTTTCTGAACAAAATGATAAACAAATTCTTCTCATTGAAGCTGGTGGTGCTGATACAAATGATGCAATTCATATGCCAGCTACATCGTAAAAAAATATTAATTTTATTTAATAAAAAGATAAATAATATTTTTATGAATTTTAGTGGAAGTTGTCAAGGTGGTAATATTGATTGGCAATATAAAACTACATCACAAGTTAATTCACATTTTAGTTGTATTAATCAACAAAGTAATTGGCCACGTGGAAAAGTTCTTGGCGGTTGCTCTTCTATTAATTGTATGCTATATGTTCGAGGTGATCCACATGACTATGATAATTGGCAATTGGAAGAATGGTCATTTAATAAATTATTACCATATTTTAAAAAATTAGAACGAGCTGATATAAATGCAATTCCAGAAAATGAAGAATTTCGCAATCATGATCAAAGTAAAGGTATGATGGATGTTACAATATTAGAAGAATCTAATAAATTAAATCAATTATTTATTGAATCATGTGAAAAAAATGGATTTCACCAAACGAAAGACTATAATGCTGAAGAATCTCTTAATGGATGTGTATCAATGTCACAAATATCAACTAAACATGGTAAACGTTGGTCAACAGCAAGTGGTTATTTATTATCAGGAATAAAACGAAAAAGTTTTCATTTATTAATTAATGCACATACTTGTCGTGTTTTATTTAATGAAGAAAAACAAACAACTGGTTAATATAATCAAAGATATTTAGTTCCAATCTTATTTTATTTTTATATATTTAGGTGTTATTGTTAGACGTGATAGTTCACCTGATAAAGAAGAGTTTATTAAAGGTAAAGAAGTGATTCTTTCTGCTGGTGCTATCGGTAGTCCGCAAATACTTCTTCTATCTGGAATCGGTCCTCGTGATGAATTAGAAAAACATGAAATCCCTGTTATAGTTGATCTACCTGGTGTTGGAAAAAATTTACAAGATCATCTTACAACTATTCTTATTTATTTAAGTAAAATATCAACATTTTCTGCTCGTGATTTAACACAGGAAAATTTACAACGATGGGCAACTGAAGGAAAAGGTCCTCTCACGTCATGTAATGTTGAATCACTAGGATGGTGTCAATTAAATAAAACTGGTAAATTGACTTGTTTTATGAAATATATAAAATTAGAGATTGGTCCTCCATCTTCTATCCATCGTTTCCTACTGAATGTGCTTTTGTGACATAGACTTTAAAGTATTTATATTTTTCATGAAATTTTTATTCTATTAGATAAAACACAAGTGCCTGATACTCAATTACATTTTCTTCCAGTAACAGTTGATACCAAATTTACGAACAGTTTAAATTTTAAACCAGAAATATATGAACAATATCTGAATTCACATCTTTCTGATGGGCAACAAGCAACAGCTCTCTTTCTTCCTACAATACTTCATCCAAAATCAAAAGGTGAAATAACTTTAGCAAGTCGTGATCCATTTATACATCCAATTATCAATCCAAATTATTTACAAAATCAAGAAGATGTTCAAACATTAGTTGAAGCATGTAAATTAGTTGAAAAAATTTCTCATAGTGAACCATTGAAAGATGTACTTAAATCATTAGCGAAAGAAATGAATGAAAACGAAATAATAGATAATGAAGATAAATTTTGGGAATTATATGTTCGAAAATATAGCGTTACAAACTTTCATCCAGTAGGAACATGTAAAATGGGAAAAGAACAAGATGAAATGACGGTTGTCACACCTGATACAAAAGTTAAAGGTGTAAAGGGTCTTCGTGTTATTGATGCTAGTATCATGCCAAGTATTGTGTCAGGTAATACAAACATTCCAACTATTGCAATAGCAGAAAGAGCAGCAGATTTGATTAAAAAGATTTAACACATTAATGATACATGCATTTTTTATCTCTTAATCAAATCCAAAAATAAATCTTTCTCTGATTAGTAGATGCCACTAATAAATATAATTAAATTCCTTTTTTTTTTTCAAAAATGTTCGAATCTAAATAGAAGAAATTAGTTGATCATTATTAAGTGCCATCTTGATGGTGAGTGTGAATGTCAAAGATGAAAATATGACCGATTATTTGTATTTTATATTTATAAAGATTCTACTGGAATATGATCTAAAGAATTACGATTAATGAAAGTAATGACTATGGTTTATATAACATCCATAAATATGATCAGATGTATAAAAAGAACTGACAAATATATCGTTGTTGTTTGAGTGTATGGATAATGAATATATCATTGATTACTATAGAGACATATAGAATCTGTTGTTATCCAGTGTTCGTCTTTATGACAATCGATCCATTTGGCCTGTTCGAACAAGGCACAACGTCGTTTCGAATCGATAGAATTTCTGAAAAGAAAAATCTCATTAAAATAGACAGCATAAGAAAGACGTGAACATGTTTATTACCGTATCCATGATGATGAATCTGTTTCGTTAATGCATAATAAAATAAGTTCATTATTCGAGCAGAGAATTAAACGATCTTTGAGAACTTCAATATGTGGCAAAAGACTATCAATGAAAAGTTTTTCCAAAAGTTGACTATCATCAACAGAATACATCAGTAGTAAAGACTCTTTCTGAGATATTTCAAATAGATATTTGCCATCCTCTGTAAAATATTTATCATTATTATCGGTATGCTCTTCATGGGTTCGACAAGTGGCATTTGTTTTGCACGGATCATAATGAAGAGTACGAATGATCTGTTTACGCTCAATATTCCACCAATAAACTTGTTGATTATTATCGTAAAAAACCAAAACACTTTGCAGCGCAGATATTTTTCTTATTTTAATGTTATTATTGAGCGAAATGGAAATCAATTCCATAGCTTTCTTCTCAGCATCCCACATAGCCAATACAGAATAATCATCGGCTAAAATAAATAATTTCTTTCGATCAACGGTGATAGTACTTAATAGGGACTGACAGGAGAAATTGAAGTGTGCAATATTTTGTAGCTTGAATGAATATTCTGTATCGATTTGAAAGAGTTGATTAGTCTCAGCGTCAACGATGAAGAATAATAAGCCAAGCGAGTATACTTTGACAGAATGATATTGGAATTCATCTATTTGATAGAAAAGTACTGGTGTTGAACTAATCGAATAAATGAAGAGTGTATTGTTGGAATTCAATACAAGTAAATAGGATGTGTTCATAGCCAATTGTGTAATCATAAAAGGCATTTGTATTTGTTCGACAAGAGATAATCGTTTATCAAACGTGAAAACATTCAAAATACTACAAAATAATTGTTATTTTATTTGCTAATCAAATTCATCAATACAACTCACCATTTTGTTTTGTCTAATGCAATAACAAAATCATCTTGAACTTCGAAGCGATCAATCGAAATTTTTAATATTGTGTTAACAGGCAGATAGGTCATCATTGTTACATTGTACTTACGTAGTTCTCCATTAGCTAATGTACAATAGACAATGAAACCCCATTCTGCATCTTTAACAAAGAAAACATTTTGACAAAAATCTGTACAATGATACGAAAGACTAACCTATCTGACATGCCCAATGAAAAATTTGTTCATCGAGTTGTAGATTAGCAAGTAAACGGTATGTATGAACAGATTCATGAAGTTTCCATTCGTAGATATTAATTCTTGATTGATTTCGATTGAGACAACAAATAAAATTTCGTTTTGATTGACATTTCGTATATAGTTCATGATATTCACCAGGAATAAGAAAATATTGACCACAAGAGTGAAAAACAACAACGGAATCAATAGCCAACCAGATCAATGCACTTTCATGTCGATCGGAGAAGAAACTTTGACGATTGATCGTACTATTTAATAAAGGTAAGTTGTCGATTTTTTCAAGACGATCATTTTCAGGACGTTCGAAATGGTACAAATAAATATATGACTGATTCTCACAATAATAAACATCAGTATTGAAATTTAGAAATATATTTCGATCAGCCAATTTTTGAGTTAATGTTCCAATAAGTTGAAAACAAATTTTTCCTTGATTACCTCTAGTAATTAAATAATGTGTTAAACCATTTTCAAGTGTCACTCGAATGGTTACACCCGTATATCGTTCGATAGTTGAACATTCTACAATAGGAACATCAAATAAATATCGTTCAATCAATGTTTTATTTACACAATGCCATATATCAATCGATTGATTATCTTTCGTACAGACAAGTAATCCTTCCATGTAAAAAAAATCAACATGTATAATATGATTGAAATTTAATTGAAGTACAAATTGATGATCAAATTTTTGAAAAATCAAAATTGATTGACATGAATAGAAACATATATCTGTAGTACCAAACTTAATCGAAGTAAATTGATTCGAAGGTAATTTATATTCAAAGATTTTTCCAAGTCAATCTTGTGGATAAGACCGAAAAACAAGAACTTTTTCTTGTAGTAATACATAAAGAGTACTATAACCTAAAGACATAGCATTAATGATGACTGTTTTATATGTATTCATCATTGTACTCAATACTCGTGTATTACCATTGTCCAAAATGCGAAACATACAATTATTTTGACATTCTTGAAATAAATGATAGGTAAAATCGGGAAGTATATCGATAAAAGATGTGAGACGAGATAGAATTTCGAAGGCGAAATTTTTTGGATATTTATTGACAATGGTAGAACAACTTTTATATTATGTTAGGAGAAATTGAATTTCGGGATACAAAGAATCAGCTCCGAATCGATCGCTCATTTTATAACAATGAAGAAAAGTCCACATACAATTATAATCATAGAGAAAACATGGTTCAGGTCGACAGATATCTAAGGGTGAGTGTGGGTGTGAGTGTGAGTGCTAGGTGTATACAGTAGCCATACCCACACCCGCCCTTCGACTAACGTAAGTTACTCTCACTCCAGCTCTATACTGACACAAACAACTGCATATTCTCAAAACAATTACTTAAAAAGTTGATTTTTCTTGAACGATTTGCTTATTTTTATTTCTGTCTGATTGATCATATCTATATTTATAATCATAATGAGGGATTTTAACGAAATTACTCACTATAGAATAAAAATCGAGACAAATGTGTCCAACAATACACCAAATTATAGTAAAATTCGTGAACCAAGAAAGTGATGATCTAATTTTTTTCATCGATTCAGACGTATAACTCTTTTCAAGAGAACAAATTATGCACCATCTTATGAAACATGTATATTTCATTTTACGATCAAATGATAATATACTTTGAATACAAATAAATTCATTCACACTTTGTTAATTATTACCGAGAATACAATATTCATGTTTATTATGTGTTAGTTTATATCGATGAAACAACCGTAACAAAAACTTTGTGTATAATTGTTATGGCAATTCTGTCATTCTGTACCTGACATCATTATTTTTCGTTTTTTTCTCAACAAGTAATTGCAACATCATGTGCAACAAACGACAAAAAAAACATCTACTCATTTAATCAGAAGAAAAAGTAAAAACACATCATACAACCAACATATAATTCAACAGTCTACAATGGCAAATCAAACTGTCATCAACTTCCATACGTTACCGGTAGAACTTGTCTACCGAATTTTGGATTATGAATCAGATTTCACACTTATATGCTCAATGACAAACGTATGTGAACGATTCAATAGGATCTTAGACAGCTACGATCGATACCAGGTAAATTGTTTTTTATGATGATGGTTTAATTTTTCTCTATTGACTCCTAGAAAATAATTCATTTCTTATATTATGACAATATGAATATAGTGTCCTGATAATCAGAAAAAAAGAATTCTTTTTTTTCCTTTCTTTTTGATTTCATCTAAATATTCCACGTTTCAAATCAGGTATGATGCCATAAACATACGATGTTTACGTAAGAACGGAAAAAAAGAAACAACCCATTATTATTTGCTTTTTAATACCATTTCACTAATACCTTGAGAAATCTCTCCGACAAATACTCCATTAAGGACATGCATGACTATCGATGCAGATGGCAGTGGATGTGGATAAGAGACAGGAATATTTTTTCAAAGAATACTACTTCTAAAGCAAATTTTTTTCTAAAACAAATTCTCCGAAACGGACTTCATCTAAGGCACACTCTCTTAAGGACTGCATTCGTCTTCTATTCATAATGAGCCTAACACTATAGAACAGATTGTTTAATTTTTTTACTTTTCATAAATCAATGTCGATTCATGAACACTATCGTATGCTAGCATTGAAAGAAACTCTCGAAATCAATATACATTCTCAAATAAACAACTCGTATAGATCAATAAGGTACAGTTCGATGCAAAACACTTATTGAGTCTGAACAACCACTTACTTAAATACATTGTCATATTAGTACATAGTATTATACTTCACAATTGATTTGGGCGGCGGCGCCTTACAAACTATTCCTCAATAACTAAAAAAATTTCTCTCTTGCAGAAATATTAAGAGATTCCAGCAACTTATATATAAAACCTTTCTATCATCACAGATTTTTCACAACACATCATTACAACACTACGCAGTATATATAGAATCCTTAAAATATTTATATTAATATTCATAAGATCTCAAAAACAGAGACAGAACAACATTTGTCTAACTTTTCTAACATCATTTAACACTGATCGCCTGTCCTATCCCTCTCCATCTGTATCGTCTTTTTACCTTCACTTTCACATCTAGACACTTACCGCTCTCGATCTCTCCAGAAATCAAATCGGAGATGTTGGAGCACAATATTTGGCCGTTGCATTACAACACAATACAGTAAGTCTCATTTTCTCCTTATCCAAACCATGTTTTTGGCTTTACTACTTCCTCTAGACACTCATCACATTAAATCTTCGAACCAATCGAATCGGAAATGTTGGAGCACAATATTTAGGTGATGCATTACAACACAATACAGTAAATTTGATACTCTTCTTATTTATACCATGTCTTTGCTTCTACTACTTCATCTAGACACTCACCACACTAGAGCTCTGGATTAATCAAATCAGAGATGTTGGAGCACAATATTTAGGTGATGCATTACAACACAATACGGTAATTCTCATTCTCTCTTTATCTAAACCATGTGTTTACTTCCACTTCTTCATCTAGACACTCACCACACTAAATCTCTCGAGCAATCAAATCGGACATATTGGAGCACAATCCTTGAGTAATGCATTAC